CTTTATTTATTATTTTTATTTTATGTGTATGAGTGTATTGCCTGCATATATGTGAATGCACCTGTGTCGTCCAATGCCTCAGAGGTCAGAAGAGGGCTTCGGATTCCCTTGGAACTGGAGTTAAGGACGGTTTGTAGCTGCCATGTGGGTGCTGGGAATTGAACCCAGGTCCTCTGCAAGAGCAGTCAGTGCTCTTAACCACTGAGCCATCTCTCCAGCCCTGCAGTTTAAACTCTTAACTGCATCTCTGTGAAAAAACAAAACAAGTTACATACGACCAAGATGCAATGAGTAAACATTTCCATTCCAAAAGGGCGGACTTGGGACATAAAAGAGTGATCCAGCCAGATTCAGACAGACCCAGCAGGGCAGACATTGCCTCCTGTGGCTCCAGGCCTAGCGTCTGGGAACGCTGCTGGTGCGAGCTCTGCATTCAGGCGCCCACAACTGCGGCCTTACTGGTTGTAGCACTGGCGCCTCTCTCTGGGGGCTGGATGTGTTCGTTGCCTGTAGCCTTTCTCAGCAGATGTCCCCGATTCTGGCATCGCTGCCTTCCTGAGGTCTCCACGAGGTCACTGGCTTTGTGCTTGCAGCTTTGGGCCTCCTGGTCGCTGGGACGGCCTGTAAAAAGTAGGCTACACACTGGCTGCCATCCCAGGTCTTCCTGTGACGTCTGGATGGAATTTCCCATGCCTTTGGCATGTTCCTGAGCTGCCAACCCAGCATCACGTGGAGGACGCCACTGTTTGTGGCCGTCCCAGGCAGTAGCTGGGTCTCTGTGGGCCACAGCAGTAGTGGCTGCTGAGTGTCTGGATGGCTGAACATGGGGAGGCGTTTCCTAGTGGCCGATACCAGCAGGGCACGATTGTTCGCTTACCTGAGCAGTCTTTCAAATGAGTTTACTCTGTTCAGCCTTGATCTTGTGATGAGTAACGTGGAGCAAATTCCCAGGATGCCTTCAAAGCATGTTTCTTACTGTCTCAGTGCAGTGCTTGACTTCTTAGTAGGGCTAATCTCTGCATGCCTTTGTGGCTGGACCGGTTTTTACCTGGTCACTTTGACAGCAGTTTCCACTAACTACAAACCTGAGTAAAAGCAGCCAACAATCCCCACCCCACCGCTGTGCTGCCTTGGGAGTTCCTCTGCCAGACCCTTTAAATTCAGCTTCCCCCATTAATAGTGTGCAGTCGGATTGCCACGAGAACCCCCTGCTGCCGCATTCTGGTCTCCCAAGTTCCCATCAGAATCACCCACTGATCTCTGCTGCTGATTCTCAGATTTCTCAAGGTGGCGTCTCCAAACTCTCCCCACAACTTAGTCTGAGAGACTTCTGAAGCACTATTAGGTAGTCACAGCGGTGAGTTCCTTTCTCACCTTCTGAGTTGTTTTTCATCACTGTGACAACTCCTGAGAGGGACAGTCGAGATGGAGAGGAGTTTCTTTTGGCTGTTTTGGGGGCTTCAGTTCATGGTTGACTGGCTTTAGTGCTCCAGGGCTGGGTGAGGCAGACCACTTTGGTGGAAGGGTTGGTGGAGAAGAGCTGCTTACTACACACAGACACACACACACACACACACCACACACGTGCGCGCACACGTCGAATGAAGAGTAGACAAGAGGCCATGGACAGAGCACCCTTTAGAGACACACTCTGGGAGACAGTTCCCCGACCTAAGCCCGACCTCCAACACGTACTACTAGCTGGAGGCCAAGCTTTTATCACAGGAGCCTTTGGGGCCACATTGCCTACTCAAACCACAACTTAATGCTCTGGATTTCCAAGAACACTAATGACATTTCCCCATGAAACATAGTAACTATTAACAAAACAAAACATTTAATCTCAGCACTCCTAGGCAGAGGCAATGGATCTCTGAAGTCTAGGCCAGCCTGGTCTACCATAGTTCCAGGCCCCTTGGGGTACAAGGAGAGCCTGTCTAAAGAAAACCTAACAACAGAAAAAGCAGGAAAAAAAAAAATTAAAGTGGTAACTACTGCATTTAGGAGTCAAAGCAGCATTTCTTACTGGAGACATGGAAGCATTATTTTCTGTAACTTCTGTTCCGTGGGGTCAAAGCACTACTTCCTGGATCTGTAAACCTCCTGCCAACTTGCTCCAGAACCTCCATCTTTTGAGTTCGGAATCTTCTGCTTGACCACTCTTTGTATGTGTGGGTGTGAGTGGGCCTCCACATTTATGGCTGTGTGTAGAGGACAGAGAATAACCTTGGGTGCTGTTCCTCAGGCACCATCCACCCTGCTTTTTGACACGCTTTCTTGTTGGCCCGGAACTTACCGAGCAGGCTAGGCTGGCCAGCAGACATAGGGCTCCCCACCTCCACCTCCCCAGCACCAGGACTGCATGTGCACAACACTCTGGCCTTTGTACTGGGTTCTGGAGACTGAGCTTGGCTCCTTGTGTTTGCATCAGTTCACCAATGAGTTATCTTCCCATCCCTTGACCATCTGTGTCATTTTCCCTAACCAGGTTCACAGTGCTTTACTGTTTATGGTGCAGCTGTGAAATGGACCTGCATTGTGCACGTGTTGAAGTTCTGGTCTATAGTGCAGCAGTATTCAGAGTTGAGACTTTGGTAGTAAAGGGTCAGAAGGTTCTTATGTCATCAGTGGTGACTCCATCGATGGGCTCACACTTGAATTGAGAGGAATGGGAAGCGTTCAGGTGTGTTGTGAAGAATGCCTTCTCCCGCCCCTTCTCCCTCCTGTCCTCACTGTATGCTCCTGTTTCACTCTTAGTGCCTCCCCTGCCGTACGCAGATCTAGCATCCTGCACAGCCACATTTCTTTCAGAACTTCGCTGTACTATTGTGGTCCTGGTAGATAACCATCCAGAGCGGAAGATGGCTGCTCTCGTGCTCCTTATGTCATACAGGAGGAAGCTAGGTGAGGGGAACCTCTTTTTGGTGTTTGAGAGTTACCTAGGAATCCACGAGAGAAAAATCCAGAAGTGATGAGACCTCTTTCCCATGCAGAAAGTGAATAGATGTGGTACCTTTAAAAACTGTGTTTTGCCTGCCTGTGTGTGAGCACACCTGTGTGAAATACTTCAGATCCCCTGGAATTGGAATTACTAATGGTTGTTAGCTGACAGGTGGGTGCAGAAAACTGAACGGGGGTCCTCCACAAGGGTGGCCAGTGTGCTTAACCACTGAGCCATCTCTCCAGCCCCAGATGTGCTATCTTTTATGGAGAAGTCTGAGAAAGGTGGGGGAGATGGCTCAGTTGGCACAGTGCTTGCTTTTCAGAACTAGGACCTGAAGTTGATCTCCCGAATCCACATAAGAAAGCTGAGAAAAGCTGTACACACCCGTAATCTGGGGAGAGGAGACGGGTTTGCTGGCCAGCTAGTAAAAGGCCAGAATGGATGGTGCCTAAGGAATGACACCCAGGTTGACCTCTGGCCTCTACATTCATGTACACACATGCACCTGCACACATACATGAATAGAGTGAATTACTCAAAACACCTTTAAAAAACAAAAGACTGAAAAATGTAACTTTGACTGATTTCCCTGTATGACACATAGAAGGGGCAGGAAGGCCTCTCAGGTCACACGTTCTGATGATAGTCCTTGTGGACGTACTATCCTGGTTCTCCATAAGCTTCGTGTTTTTCTCCGTGGCCCCTCAAAGCTGCCTCGAATACAGACCACTGTGCTGTGCTGCCACTTTACCTCTGGGAATCCTGCCCAGCTGTGGGCTGAGTCCTCGAGCTTTGCTCTCACTTGTCTGCATACCTGAGCTTTCCACCCAACACAGACAGCACATGTCTCCTCCTTCCAGGGTTTAGTTTTCCAGTGTGAGGGGCAGGCTCAATGGCAAATGTTGGAATTCCATTTAAGCTTTTCTACCAACACGGTCTGTGACAGGTTACCCAGGTAACTTGGTAACTAGTGCTAACCCTTGTTGGGTCTGGAGAAGTGGCTCAGTGGTTAAGAGCAGTGGCTGTTCTCACAAATGACATTTTTGGTTCCCAACACCGACATGGCAGCTAACAACTGTCTACAATTCCAGTTCCAGGGGATCGGACATACTCTTCTGGCCTCTACATGCATTGCATGCATGGGTGTACTTCACATACATGCAGGCAAAGCACTCATACACATGAAATAAAAAAGAATATCGTCAGCTGTGCCTGGTGCCACAGGTCTAAAATCCCTCCTACTCAGGAGGCTAAGGCAGGAGGATCACAAATTTAAAGTCTGCCTGGGTGACACAGTGAGTTGGTTCATAACTGAATAGATTATTAAGAGATGGTGGAAATCACGGCCAGCCTGGGTAACTGAGCCTTTACCTTAAAATAAATAGTGCACGTGGTACAGCACTTGCCTAACATGCACGGAGTCCTAGGTTCAATGCTTAGTGTCAAACACACACACAGTGTTTTAGTCAGTAGATGATCTTGAATAAACCATTAACTACTTGGGGGAGGGGGGGCTTGTTAATCAGCCATCCATTACTAAGAGAAGCAGCCTAAGAAAAATGAAGGACCCGAGTTTTCTTCTGGCTCAAGTTTTCAGTCTCTGGCCGCTGGGCTCTGTGGTTTCTGGGCTGTGAGGCAGGGCATCAGAGTGGGAAGCAAAGCCACTTACCTTGTAGCAGCTAGGGTCCCAGTGAGAAGGGACCCACTCTAACTAGTCCCACTTCTCAAGTTCCTCAGATTATGAGTTCATTGATGGACTAATCCATTGATGTCATCAGTCTTCGTGATCCATTCATGCCTCAAAAACCCCACCTCTGAGTATGGCTGTGTTGGGGAACAAGCCTTCAGCACGTGTGCCTTTGAGGGTACTTCAGATCCAAACCATAAGGCTCCTTTCCTTACTTGCAAAGCGAGAACAACATTGCCACCTTTGCTGGCAGTAGACAGAACGACCAGGGTTAGCTGTCACTGTGGCCATGCTGAGGATGCCACTTGATGAACTCGGGGAAGCAGAGAAGCTATCCATGAGTGCACTGTGCTCACGGTGAACGCCACTGGAAGTGGGGCCATGAGCCGCCCTCGTCCCTAGTGCGCACTGCCCTCCTCACCTCATCTTCCCTGGGATCCACAGCTTGCCAAGGCTATTACCATTTTCTGTTGTGTAGCAAATCTAATTTTAAAAATCGTTATAACACTTCACAACTCAGCTGTGTAAGCTCCGAAGTGTTTCGTTAGAATTAAATTTAGTCTAGCTTTCATCAAAAAATTATCTATGGCCTGGAATGAGGCAAGCTCTGAGTGAGGGGCACTAGTCTTAATGTTTCCCAGCAGGCACTGCAAGGACCGTGGGGCCCTAAGGGAGCGCACCTTTACCTTCCCTTACAGCTCCGTCACACAAATGGTTCTTGTGGCTAACGAAAGAATTTTGGCTCGTACAAGTTCAGCTCCACTCTGTAGATCAGCCCAAAAGACTCTAGAAGTTAGTTTTTGTTTTTCAGTGTGGTAGGTTTAAGATTTAAGTAGTCGGGACCCTTTCCCTCCCCGTATCTTAGATTCTCTGGAAATGAGTCTGTGTTTAGACACATATTGCAGCATTGGGTAAGAAGAATTTGATCAGTGGGAAATGACTGTTCATAATGGCTCTGACCTCATCAGTGGCTCAATCCATTGACGAATTTGTAATTTAATGGCATCACTGGTGGGGCCTAGGTGGAGGAGGTAGGTGACTAGAGGGGCTCCCTGCAAAGGTTCATCTTGCCCCTGGCCCCTTCTGCTTCTGGGTTAGCAAGTACGAGGAGCTGTGGCTCTGCCACACACACCTGACAATGGTGTCATGCTTCATGATGGCCCTGAATGAGCCAAGTGACTGGAGACAGCCACAGCCGCCTCTGCACTGAGCAGAAGAGCAGGTTTGCTTTAAACTATCAAGTATCTTGTCACAACGGAAGCTAATGCAGTAATGTTTGCTACAAAAAATGCTACTCAAACTTTGAAACGCAACACAAATGCCAAGAAAAACATGAAATTACCCTTTCCGTTTCCATTGGGCTTAAATGTGTGTCTAGGAACTAAGATTTTGACAACATATGCTTTGTGGTGCATACATATATTAATGTTTTGTCAACTTGTAAAGTTGCTTTTCTTCTTCTTTTTGGGACAGGATCTCCCTGTAGCCCCAGCTGGCCTGGAACTCATTACATAGACCAAGCTGGCCTCAATGTCACAGAGAGCCATCTACCTGCCTCTGCCTCCCGAGTGCTGGGATTAAAGGCATGTTGTCACATGCCAAGCTCTTTGTGGTACAATCCCTCCAGACTGCTTCTGAGATGTACCTTGGATTCATTTTGCTCCTGTCCGTGGTATATATGAAGTGGGAATGGGTTCCCGAACCTCCCTCAGGCCAAAGGATTCTTGTGGTTTACTGTCTAGGTTCTGGCCCTTCCCTGGTTCTCTATGTCTCTTCCTGGTAAACCAGCAGTGGCTTGGCTTTGTAGCAGCTTCCATTCTGGATTTTGGGGCAAGCCTTGACATTTCCACCAGATCTGGTCAAGTCTGCTGTATCTTGATGGCCTGAGAGCTTGGACTTGTGTTCTGAATTGAAAAGGAGAAGTAGGGCCTAGTGCCATGTGCAGGCCTGAGGTTAGCAAACAGGAACCACTGTCAAAGGAGTCACACTCCTCCATGACAAGCAATGTTGGCTCTGTTCTATGTTTCACAGGCTGCTCAAGAGAAAGAAGAACTTCAAAGGGAAGGTGACAGTTTGGATGCTAAGATCAGCAAAGCTGAAAAAGAAATCTGTGCTCTAGAGAACACCTTGCAAGTCCTGAAGACCTGCAACAACAACTACAAACAGTCTTTCAAAAAAGTGACTCCGTCGAGTATGTGGCGGTCTTTGGGACACAAAAAGGCTGCAGCTTTTTTTTTTTTTTTTTTGGAGAAAGGG